AGTCTAGGGGGGAAATTATTTTTCAAATTTTCATATGATATAAACTTATAAACAAAGAATATGAAATAAATTTATGTTTTATAATAAGTAAAATATAATACAGACAGAAAAACAATTTCAATTTGTTAACCTTTTGTCATTCAATAAGAATTATTTATCTACATGTTGATTGTTACATCAGACACGAAATAGGTTGAAATAACCAGACATCGACAAAACATTTTATTATCAACAACAACAACATTAACAGCTTTGGATACCGGCTCAGTGGTCTAGAGGTTAAGCGTTCACGCGCAAGACCGATAGGTCTTGGGTTCGAATCTAGAGAGGCGGGGTCGTGGATACGCACTGCTGAAGAAATCTACAATAGGAAGAAACGGCCTTCCAGGTTTTCCATGGTGGTCTAGCTTCAATTAACTCATGAATTCAATAATTAAAAGTCAAATGAGTTAATGAAATGTTAAATATTTGTCACCAATATTTCTTTATGAATTAACAGGTGGATAAAGCTGTTGTCAGAAAACCCAGTATTTTTTATTAACTAGCCTAATTAAAATTTAGATTAGTGGTTTGGTTATAGATTGATTGGTATAAGTTTACAAGCTCTAACAATTAGACGATACCAGTTAGATCTTGCATTCTAGTCTTTCAGAAGGTCATTCCATTTTTAGTTTTTATTCGATAATATTACAATGTCATATTAAAATATTCCATAAATACAAGTGACTTTTAATGAGTCATTTGTGTTTTCTTTTAGTATTAAATTAGAAATTGGTTGAATTTTAAAAGGTACTGGCATTAAAAATATTTAATTAGTTGGATAACATTAAAATTACAACTTCAGAAAAGAGGGAAATGAAGTTACCATCAGTTTTCTTGCTTGCTAAACTGTTACGTTCTCTCCTTGATTATGACACAGTACAGTATACAACTAACCGTACTCGAACATATAGAACTTCACAGTCGCATATGAAAACACGGAAGAGGCAGGGGAAACGATTATTGGGTAAGAATCAGAGATGCATATAAAAACAGGAGTATTTGTGATTTTTAGTCTTGGCTATAACATTATTATAATCCAACCAATCCGCAAGGAGGAAAGTTATGCAAATGTTCAATCATAACATGCCACATTAACTTTCTAGAGGGTTCTATCAGGTACTGATTAGACGGAGTCTCTTAGACTCCTTTAGAGCCTTTGAAGGCTCTAATCGATGAAATGTTGACGAAATATGATCTATGTCATAACATAACGTGTAAAAGAAATTATTTTGTCACATCATATTGACCATTTAAAGGAGATAGTAAAGAATGCTTTTGCTTTACAATTTTGAAATTTTCAGAATTTCATTACATCACAATTAACACGTTTGATTGAAGCCACTGAAAGGAACACACACACACACTCTTAAATGGTTAAATAATCTTAAAACGATGACTTATGTAATACTCACTAGAAGATTTTTGACTGCACGATTCATAAATTATTATTGATCGGTTAGATGGAGGAAGAACAGAAGGATTCATTTACATTTTTAAGTTTCTGTATTGAGAAATTTGTTATTAAAAATTTTAATCATTTGCACTTTCGATTTAGTCTTTATCCAAAGAGTGACTAATTGTTGGGAAGAAAATTCACTACTGTATTGACAGGAAAGAATAAGTTGATCATATCATAGTTATGTTCTTAGTTTTCAACTACATATGAAAATGTATGAATTCATGCTTCAATTATTCTATTACATGAACCAATCGGAAATATATATGGACATTTTTGGATATTTAACCTTCTTTAATTCAAGCTTTCGTAGTAAAGAAAAGTTTTTTGTCAGTTTAGATAATATCTCTGGTGCAAATATACAAGGAGGTGGTTGATGTAGATGTAAATGTATAAAGTTATTAATAATAACAACAACAAAAATGCTTTAACCAACTAAATGCTTAATATCGTAAACTCAACTAAATCTCAAAGTGTTTGATGAAATGTTATTTATTAACAGCGTTTCCCTAATTTTCAGATATGGTTCAGCATTGAAACAATGAATTATAAGGAACTTACGCTATGAATAAACTATTCTTAGATACAATGGAAATATGTGTTTTAAAATCATTACCGAAGGGAACATCACCTATTAGTGTTTGATATGGACAGCGTTAATATTGTATATAAACGGGTATACAAATAACATAGTGAATTTACTTAAAAGCAGTTTTATCAGAGGTTCCTTATGTCTGCCAAGAATAGAATTTTATCTATTACTTATACTTTTCTTACTTGCAAGTTATTTGGAAAGTTGTAACACTTTCACTTAGTAAATTAGTAATTTTATTGCCTGGATATTCTATGTTCTATGTTTTGGTGTAAAATGTAGCTATGATAATTCGGTAGACTGATGGATGAGCCTTTCTGTTATTTAGAGCTACAGTAATTTATTGAAAATATTAGTATTGTAGGACACAGCTAAATGGGTTGTAGCTAATGGTTTTAACTATGAATGGCTTTTAAAACGTATCATCCATAAGCATCTATGAAAGTAATTAATCTTACTAAGGATGGCCAATTTGCTGATAGCACAACGATCATAATAATTTTTATGATTGATAACATAGGGAGGGGGTGGGAAATTATGAGATATATTTTGTACATCATCTAAGAAGTAAAGCGAATCACTTGGAAATATTATTCATTTATCATTATGCCCATGATTGTTATCTTCAACGGAAGATTAAATGTAAATTTGTTTCATTGTAATTACTCTTAAGAGCAAGTTTTTACATTTAGTAAGTAAGGTGACATTAACCGTGTATCACGCAAGTACTAGAATAGCAGCAACAATCGTAACTGCCTTAATAGATTAGCAATGATTCCTATACAGAATAGATATTTTGTTAACTGAAATTCCACTGGAGGAAATTTAAATGACATCAAATAGTTATTAATAAGTATATGAGGGTTCTAGTTTAGTATTTGTAGTGGACCTATTTTAGATTTAAGTTTATAAAGCATGAACAACAAAGTATTCTGTATACTTGGTAAATAACCGTTCATTAATTTAATAACCGATAAGAAAAATTAAAACTAGACAGTTGAAAGACCTAACGTGTGCAAGTATTTTTTAGACATTGGTTACTTTGTCTAGTATGACTTTACGGGAATTTAGTAACCGATAGGTCAAGCTAGACTATACACATAGTTTCTTTAGTAATATAAGCAGTCATATAGCGAATTAATTTCTTACTCACTATTCGAAAATCCTATCGGTGATACACCACTTGTTCGATTATTTTTAAATACGCGCCTAGTATTTACTGTTCATTTATATCAAGATAAAGTATCAAAGCCTTGAAGTGTAATTATAATTATATTTAAGAAGAACTGTAACGTAGTAAATAGTTTTCCTTCTTCATGAAAAACACTTATTTGAAGGATATGAAGTTGTTTTAATACAAACATAGGTATAAATTAAATTTCTCTGCAGGTAGAAGTTACAGATTATTCATTACTTTACATTGTTAGCAAGTATTATAAATGACTTGGATCAAGAGACATCTTGTAAGTATTTGGCAGACTTTTTGAAATCAAACACTATAATTCATATTATAGATAGATAATAATGCAATTCTTCTTCCTTATAATCATTATCATTCTATCCTATGTTCAGTTACAAATACACAGACACGTCAGATATTATTACATGTTTTAAAATTATCCATGTAGTAAAAAGTAATCATTTTCTTAACAAACCATTCAAATATCTTTTAAGGTTACAAAATCTCAAAGTTATATACATGTAAAGTGGAAAGAGATTGCTGAAAGGTGTATCTCCAAACACTGCCTTTAAAAGAACATTGATATGCCAAAACAGAAAATGGCAATAATTTGATCAGTTCACACTTATCGATAATGAAGTAATTGTCAACAGTTGTATTGAATGGTCGTCGAGCTATATCGGAAATCGATTGAACTTAGAATTGTTCAATTTCACGCCAATTCGGTTTTAATGTTTAAACATTCATCTCAACACCCAAGTATTCTGAACACTATGTCGATGACTGTTAAGCCTGAGCGATTTGATTTACACCACATGCTAGGTTCGCCAATCAGGATTTCCATTATAACTTTACAACTTCTTGTCTGTTATTCTGTCCTATTGGTCCGTCATTACCCATTATCTCTTTTCACAGCCTTGAGTTCAAAATAAAAGACTGCAGCCAAACTCTTACTATTATATTTCATCCACCCACACACCCAGGCATTCACATTAGCATGTACAGATGACATTCCAAGAGTTGCACTTTCCATGATATTTGCTCCTCCAAAACACTGGGTTTTATCCTCGTAGGGTCCTGAGTACGGCATTATGAGGGGTAAAACATCTGTCCACTGCCCTCTGGATTTCGACGGTATTCTAAATGAGGTTGATTCACAAAGGATACTCAATACAGTCCTGTCATTTACTCTCTAATGATATTTCTGAAAATAATCTCAAAAGTAATCGTTTAACCGCTGTTGAATATCCATCCGTATCAGTGTTATCATATTTTTTTTCAAACTCGATCATTAAGATTAATCTAATGAAACAACAAACTTTTAGGATTAATCTATTCTGTTGAAGAGTACAATATGAATCAAATTTGCTGTTTGATAGCATATTTCGTTGAAAATAATAACAGAGAAAATGTTTATTGCACTATATCAATTTTTTTCCAGAAATATTCATGTTAATAAGAATCTTACTACAGAAGTACTTAATAGTGCAATCGCTGACATATAGTCAACCTAATTATAGAGGTTTATAGTGTACTAAATGATTATATTAATTCGTTTGATATCAGTCAAAGTCACCGTTTACAGAGCTATGTTCTTTGGTAAGTTTGATAGCCTTCCAATTTATGTGTAGCACACTAAACATGTGCTGTATTTATTTTGAACTACTCTTCACTTTCGTATTCAATTACTGCTTAGTTTAGTCTCTTGTGTACATTTTTTCCACTTATAGCTGCATACTATGGGGATATAGCGTTGGATGAACACGAATCTCATATGATGTTGTCAAAAGGCATGGCATTATCTGATGATCCATTACAAATATGGGATTTGGAAGATAATAAGGAAACGAACAATCGGAGAAATAAATATTCTAACATCCCTAATTCAAAACCATTGGATGATATTAAAAGTGAAATGAGGTAGGTCTAGTTATTCTCATCACTGTATTTATTGGTTTGATGTATTACAAAAGGAGTTGGCATTTCATCCAAACATATAATAGGAACATGTTGTAGGATTAGTCTTAAAATAAGCACACTGTTCTTTTCATAGAAAGACTATTATCAGGGTTTTTTTTCAAGTTTAAGCACAAATAGTTATGCTCTCTTAAAATGTTCTGACTTTGAACCTACCCTGGTACATTTTAGTTTCATTTTCACTGTCTAAAGGTGTTATCGAAATGAAATTTATGCTTTTTGATATAAATTCTCTTATCGCTATTTGATAATTCTTCGTTTTTGCCTAAAATGACCATTAAGTGAATGATCTGATTGTTAAATGTGGTGTATTTCAATTACTTCAGTCTTTATATCCAAAGTATCTTTTTTTCTTGCAGTAACTAAAATCTATAGTACAAAGCTGATCATATTAAACATATTAATGAGACAACGAATTAAATACAATAGTAACAAAGCAACTGTTGCTCAATTCACATTTTGTCTATCAGCAAATATGTATATTTAAACTATTCATCAGAAAACAGTTTAACTGTAGGAACTGTTGCAAATGAGTTCATAGAACTATTAAAATTGATACAATCTCTACAACACCTCATGTTGATAACAGTCATGTGCTTACTAGTGAATAGCTTCAAGATGAATTTCCTAGAGTTCTAGTGAGAAGCGGTGACCAGTAAAGTCTAATCCGTGTCGGGTGGAGACAATTATTTACCACACAAAATGAATGAAGGGTTGAGCAAAATCATGGGTTGATTGTAGTTAGACATTAACACCGTTGGATACCGGCTCAGTGGTCTAAAGATTAGACGTTCATGCGTAAGACTGATAGGTCCTGGGTTCGTGGATGTGCACTGTTGAGAACTCCCGTACTAGGACAAAACGGCCGTCCAGCACTTCCGGTGGTCTAACTTAGATCGACTCATGAATTCAACTAATAACATTAAAAATTACTCAAAACATTTGATAACTTATTGATACATAGTTCTCATTTAAACATTTAAACCAAGAATTCCAGCTTTGGGGTTTCTTTTTAATGAATTTATTATCAAGCTGTACAATCATATGTTTGTATAAAAATGGCATAATTTGAATCGCTTGACTACCAAAATTTTATGGATTATACCGTTGTCTAAATGAGACTTAACGTTATTTTGAAAGTATATTCACATAATTAACAGGGTTACTATGTGTACTATTTCTATGTATGTAATGCATAAAAGAGCAGGGTGATAAAAACCATTGTACGTATGTTATCACATAAATCTGAGGTTTAATCATTCCCTCATTATTTTTCCATAATTATCATTTGGCTGTTACAAAATCTAATTATTCCGTTCTTTATATCCACGAAGCGAATAGTTACATGTGTTCTATAAAGTGTCATTATCTCGATAATGTTTTATACGGCAGTAGGTCATTGCATAACTTCTTTTCTATATCTAGTTATTTCAAACAATTGATTAACAGTTATCACACATTTTTTTCCTTGTAATTTATTTTCACTTCCGTCCATTATGTACTTACTTACGCCTGTTACTCCTAATGGAGCATAGGCCGGAGACCAGCATTCTCCAACCCACTCTATCTTGGCCCTTTCTTACTAGTTCTATCTAATTGTTGATCATTTTTCTCATGTCTATTTCCATTTCTCGACGTAATATGTTATTTGATCTTCCTTTGGCCTTGAGGATTCCATGTGAGGGCTTGCCTTGCAACGCAGTTAGGTGCTTTCCTCAATGTATGTCCTATCCACTTCCAGCGCTTCTTACTTTGGTTCATTACTGAATATTTTTTGATACTTGGAAACAATTTCAATCATATTTTACATGATGCACCACTTCTTTTAAATTTCATTATGGATTTAAGTATTTTAGTTAACTATATTTATGATTGTAAATGATTTCGTCCGAAAAAAATATTTTCTTCGTTAAACTGTCCTTTTTTCCATTCTTTTTTTTCAAATGACTCATCAGGTTTCTTTTGTTTACTGTATTAGTTTGAATTATTTAAGAGATATCAATTTTGTCTATAGAATATTATTGAACTATATTTCTAGACTGAATATTAATAACCAGGATACATAAGTTATGTATGTAATGGAGAGATTGACAAAATAAGATAAATGATTGGTCAAAGTTTATTGTATTTTCGTTTAGTCAATAAATACATGAATTCTTGAAAAATGACATAATTCCAATCTCTTGGCTACTCAATTTTTTATAGATTATGCAAATGTCTAAATGAGATTTAACATTATTTTGAAAGTATATTCACATAAATTAACAGAGTTACCATGTGTATTATTTCTATGTATATTCATAAACACTGTAAGAAGTTGAATGCCTTATGAATGTAGGTTTATTTTAAAGAAAAGACATTTTCACTTTCAAGATAAATAAAGTTTACTCTTGTTACTTTAAAACATGTTTACTACATCATACTGACCCGATGAAAAAATTCTTAAAAGGGGTTTTTGTGGATGTTATAGTCATTTCAATGGTTAAGTTCATGAGTCAATTGATGCTAGGCCACCATGGAAAACCTGGAGGCACTGAACGGCCGTTTCGTCCTATTGTGGGACTTCGCAGTAGTACATTCTGTTTGGTCTTTAAAACAAAAGCGAATTGAGGAAACATAGAAAGTCAAGAATTTCTAAACAATTGAATCATCTTACTGTTCATATTTTATTCCAAAAGTAGAACAAACTTCTGTCGTTTGCTTTAAGGTTCAAGATATATTTTTTCATGTGATATTTGTCTTTGACATATTCCCTATAAAATACTAACCAGCATAAACGGTTTCTAATTGTGTTAAGTCTTTTTCATCTGACATAGACTTATGATAAAGATTGTTTTTCTTTTTGAATTGAGCAATTTAAAGCTACTACGGCAAAAGTAGTTTTCTATATTGATTTTTAAATGGTTTATGAACAATTATTTGGTAATCCAATGAGATTCATAATAAGAAACTAGAAGTAGGATAGTGTTTTCCACAGTAAATTCCAGTTTGCTATTTTAACCACTATCTTGTGAGTTGCAAAATCTTAATGTCTGTATTTCTCGAAAGTTTTAGAACATAAAAAAAATAACTGTCTAGTACTTATTTAACTTATTCCCGTCATATTTCAGAATAGAGTTAATTTATACCAAGATGGTGACAAATATTACGTCATGGTACAAGATATATAAAATAATCAATTCAACAAATTCTTTATTAGCATATATTTTCCCCATTGAGAACTGTATGTTTGTGTATATCCATGTTACCATGTGCTTACAGATAAACATATCAAGTATAGTCATTTTCACAATTTTTATTCATCATCATTGTAATAATTTTACATTTACATTCTGCCCTGTTTAAATTATTGCTGAGATTATCTTATTCAGAAAAGTAACAATATTAAAAGGACAAATAACCCTAGCATAGAACTATAACTACCTAGGAAAAATAAATTACAAATAATAGTCTTAAAGAAAAAAGAAATATATAAATGTTTATCTATTAGAGATATGAGCTTATTACATAATTTGCTTTTATTAACAATAATGTACATAACTATTTTGTCATGAATAGTTTGTTTAAGATTCACTATTTCCAATTCTATTCATATAAGTAATACTGATTAATGTAAGGTCTGTTGATAATATTATATATTAGTACTGGTATGATATTAGTATTATTAGTACATTTACAGTTTGACAGATAATACCAGCTTTATCTTACATATAGTTACTTTAAAAAAAAAGGATTATTATTGTAAACAGCTGTTGTGTTTAAATATAAATGCAAAGAAAGGCAAATATTTAAATGTTTTGTATTATTTGAAGAAATTTACATTGATATAACAAGAAGTTCACAGCTGTACTTATTTGTTACTAGGGTTAAAAGTTCTTTTTTAGATTATTGTTAGTCACTGATACATGATTTCATAATATAATAGTAAGTGGTTCACTATTCCCACTCATATTGTGCATATAATATGGAACAGGATGTCAACACTATTGTTGCAAAATTTCACTGAATCTGTGCGAATCTTACATTTTTATATGCTACTTATTTATGCAACTTTTATACTACATAGAATGTTTCGATCTGCATCATAGTCCGTTATTGTCCTCACAAAATAGAATATTGCAAAGAAACCTACTTCGTTTAAACCATAAAAGATTATGAGGAACACTCAGGCGTGATCATCGGTCGACTTCATCCTTCCTACTAAACCACAACCCATCATCTACATCGCCTTTGATAGTTCTGCGTGCATGATCAGTCGCTTATGATAGAACTGACTAAAATACACTGTAAATCGTCCTACTGGAGTAGCACAATGACAAGGAATCAAATTAACTACAGGTCTCTATCCCCCTTACTGTTGCTGAACACAGGCCTTATAATGGTAAAAAATATCACATTAGTTATTGAGTCACATGAGGACTCATCAAATGGTAGGAGAGACTGAAACGCTATTATAATTTTTGGAATTTTCTGAACCAGATTGGTTCTGACGCTTAAACTTCGTTACTAATTAGTCATGAAAATAATATACTTGTATGTTCTCAATCGGTAGAAAATTTAATTTTCTTACTCAATACCCCTTGCGGAGCATGGGCTGCTGACCAGGATTCTCCAGACTACTTTGTTCTGGGTCCTCCTTTTTAGTTGTTGCTAAGTGGCTATCCTTGCTCTTGATGTCTATCTCCGGTTCCTGGAGCCATGTATTCTTTGGTCTGACTCTTTTCTTTTTGTATTTAGGATTCCGAGTTGGGGCTTCCCTGTACTACGCTTGGACGATTTCCGAAAAGTGTTTCCTATCCATCTCTAGTGTCCTTTTTGATTTACTTTTTGGGCTGGGAGCTGTTTTGTTCTCTGCCACAACAGGTTATTGCTGATGGTGCTTGGCTAGTGGATATGGAGTATCTTGCGTAGACAAATATTTATAAATACCTGTAAGAATATTT